TTCTCTGTGGGTGCCCCCACCCTCTGGAACGAACTACCCCCCGAGATCCGGACGATTCCGGATCTCCTATCTTTTCGCCGCGCCCTCAAGACATGGCTTTTTCAGCAAGCGGGTCTGGCCTAGGGAGAATTTTAAATAGGGACAATTTTAATTAGAATTTTTAATGGTAACACAGCGGTTAAATATTTGTTTTTAATTGGTTTTTATTGGGGATAGTCTTTGTATTGTTTTAATATGCTGTAAGCCGCCCTGAGTCCTGTTGGGAGAAGGGCGGCATATAAGTTTAATTTAAAAAAAAAAAAAAAAAAAATCAGGATTAAACAGTCCATTTGTGTATAGGAGGGGTCTTCAAACTTGGCCCTTTTATGACTTGTGGACTTCAACTCCCAGAATTCCTCAGCCAGGCACGCTGGCTGAGGAATTCTGGGAGTTGAAGTCCACAAGTCATAAAAGGGCCAAGTTTGAAGACCCCTGATGTATAGTCTTCATTACTGAATGCCTCTGGGTGATATACGGGTGAATGAGAAACTAAAAGTAGTCCTCAAGTTACGATGGTAATTGGGACTGGGACATCACATGGCTGCTTCACATAGCAACGGAAATCCAGGCAATCCTAGTTGCCCTCATAACCCTGAGATGCACCGGTTGTTAAGCAGAAAGCAATGAGAGCCGCAGGTAAGGAACACGGGATACTGCCAGAAGTTATGACAGGCCAGACGCAGACCAAATGGAAGTTGCGGGAGGGTTTGTTTAAATCTCATTGACGTATTTCAGATGATTTTTCTGTGACCCAGGAAAAGCAATTCAGGTGTTTAAAATAATATTGGCAATGGAATGAGAAAAGTAAGTCAACAGAGCAGATAATTCAGACTTCATTCTCACCCGTTAGCAGTGCTCTCTGTTGTGCCAATCCTGTGTTTCCAATGTATTTTCTGACATGAAGAATTCAATCTCTTGATGACTATAAATAAGCATTTCCACTATGGAAAAGAAAGCTTAGTACAGTACATTTTCACGACTGGGGAATGGGATTTTTCTGGAATAAAGAATGCTAGAGGTTTCCAAGGTTTTGTTTTGTTTTTTTAAGAAAAACACAGAATGTAAATGGTTTCTGCAGTTCAGAATCTACACATGTTCTTAATAGAGAACATGCTTGGCTGTAGCAAGCTATGACCTTATTAGTACACAATGACCTACTTTTATATGTTTGAAGCCTTTGAATCAGCCTTGACAAATTTCTACAGCTTCGTTGGCAACGTTTTTTATAACTGGCGTGCTATTGCTTCATTCCTAGGACAAAAGAGAGAGATTTTCCCAAAGTCACCCAGCCAGTTTCCATGCCCAAGGCAGATCTAGAACACGGGCTTTCTGATTCCTAGTCCAGCGCCTGAACCACTAGACCAGGGGTAGGCAACCTTGGCTCCTTTATGACTCGTGGACTTCAACTCCCAGAATTCCTGAGCCAGCATGGCTCAGCTTGGAAACCTCTCCCTTTCCCCTCAGCATGGCTGGCTCAGGAGTTCTGGGAGTTGAAGTCCACGAGTCATAAAAGAGCCAAGGTTGCCTACCCCTGCACTAGACCAAACTGCCTCTATATTTTACTGCATATGCAGGCCCCAAAAGCAATATTAATTACAATGGCTTCTTCACTTTTCAGACTCTTATCAAATCTGGTGTGTTGCAGCTGTGTTGGCAATTTCAAGGCAGTAGTCTACACTTCTGGAGATCACTAAGCAGGAGAAGGGTGACCTAAACCAGGGGTCCCCAGTCTTGGCCACTTTAGGACTTGTGGACTTCAACTCCCAGAATTCCTAAGCCAGCATGACCTCTGACTTAAACCATAATGCGTAGTGTTTTAATGAATTTCTTCAGTTGAATGTTCAATAGTACAAAATATTTTACTCTTATAGCCTTGCTGGAGAAATTGGGAGAAGGCCATGAGCATAAACTTCATTTATATAGTAATTCTCCGCTTACAACCACAGTTGAGTCCAAAATTGCTCAACATAGTTATTAAATGAGTTTTGCCCCATTTTGCAACGTTTCTTGCAACTTTTCTTGCCGCAATTGTTAAGTTTATCACTGCAGTTATTAAGTTAGTAACATGGTGATTAAGTGAATCTGGCTCCCCATTGACTTTGCTTGTCAGGAAGTCACAAAAGATGATCACATGACCCAGGAGACTGAAACTATGAGCATCCAAATTTTGATCAAGTGACCGTGGAGACACCCCAACGATTGTGTAAAAAATGGTCATAAGTCACTTTTTTCAGCGCTGTTGTAGCTTCAGTCACGGTTGACTACTGAGAATGAAGCCTGATTGAATTATCTGCTCTGTTGACTTACTGTTCTCATTTCATTGCCAGTCTTATTTTAAACACCTGAATTGCTTTCTCTGTTTCCCAGAAAAGTCATCTGAATGACATCAATGAGATTTAAACAGCCCCTCCCGCAACTTGCATATGGCCTGCACCTGGCCTCACCTACTCCCCTGCAGCACTGTGTTTCTTGTCTTTGTAAGTCCTTGTCTTACAACAGAGGTCTTCAAACTTGGCCCTTTTATGACTTGTGGACTTCAACTCCCAGAATTCCTCAGCCAACGTGCCTGGCTGAGGAATTCTGGGAACTGAAATCTACAAGACATAAAAGGGCCAAGTTTGAAGACCCCTGTCTTACAACCACAACTGAGCCCAAAATTTCTGTTGCCAAGCAAGACAGTTAAGTGAGTTTTGTTTCTGCTTATGACCTGTTTTATGCAGTTGTTTAGTACCTTGGTTAAGTAAGCTTGGCTTTTCCATTGACTTTGCTTGTCAGAAGGTCACAGAAGGTGATCACATGATCCTAGGATACTGCAACTGCCATAAATATGAGCCAGTTGTCAAGCGTCTGATCACATGACCCTGGAGATGTGATGGTCACGCAGTGTGAAAACGGTTATAAGACACTTTTTTCAGTGCCATTGTAACATCAAACAATCATTAAATAAAGGTTGTAAGTTGAAGCCTACCTTCACATTGCTAAACCATAGTTCAGGACCATGGATAAAGCCATTTCTTAAAAATGCTTATAAACATGTAGAGCAGTGTTTCTCAACCTTGACAAATTTAAGGCATGTGGACTTCAATTCCCAGAATTCCACAGCCAGCAATGCTGGCTGTGGAATTCTGGGAGTTGAAGTCCACATGCCTTAAAATTGTCAAGGTTGAGAAACACTGATGTAATGATTGTTACTGAAATGTAGTATACACCTTGAACCATTTATTTGGTACAAGAATTAAGCTCTAGGCATTTATTGAGTTGCCTGAATAAGAAGGGTTTAGATATAGGTTTGTTGAAGTAAATATGAATTACAACACCAGGGAGTAGGCTGTGGTATTAAACAATATATTTTAGATCCTTTGATCCTTGTCTCTGTGATACGTGATTGACTGCATGTATCTTCCAGATGCTGGCATTGGGCAATCAAGTTGGCAAACTCTATGTATGGGACTTAGAAGTAGAAGATCCACATAAAGCCAAGTAAGTACATATAAATCTTTGGCATTGTTCCAATTCTTGTAAGCACTGAAGCTTACATGTATACCTCTTAAACTGTAATGTTTAAAATTGTAGTTGGAAATATTGTATGCCTTTTGACAATTAAGGGAGATACCACTATAAAATAACTGGGATACAAGAACCCACATGCATCCCTTAATAACTTAATCTATGTATGATCACCCTTTTATTTCTGATTGAGAATATATAATAAACGCTCAGTGTAATCAACTGATGGAGGGAAAGAGTGTCTCTTAAAACAGGGTATCCATTAAATCTAAATACAACTTCACACACGCAATGCTTTTTATGCATATGTAAAATGGGAATGGAATTTTGTCCACGTGGATTTTTCACCTTTTATATGTGCTTAAAATAGGGACTAGGCTTTATGAATCCATGGGAGTATACAGTATATTGACACATTTTGGCTATTGCATCTGAATTTCTAAACAAGTATTTGATAGATAAAAGTCAGCACTTCATGATTTTCTAATACGCCTGTAACAAATTAAGGATTTCCAGAACCTGAATCTTTATAGAGGGCGTAGATTTACCTGATGTAAGCCTTTCAGGGTCATTTACCAAGGCATACCTTTATCACAATTCCCAAAAATTGAAGCCTACATTACAGCATATAACAACAACAACAACAATAATAATAATAAAGTTGGAAGGGACCTTGGAGGTCATCAAGTCCAACCCCCTGCTCAGGCAGATAACCCTATACCATTTTGGACAAATAGCTGTCCAGTCTCTTCTTAAAAACTTCCAGTGTTGGAGCATTCACCGCTTCTGGAGGCAGGTTGTTCCACTGGTTAATTGTTCTAACTGTCAGGAAGTTTCTCCTTAGTTGTAGGTTGCTTCTCTCCTTGATTAGTTTCCACCCATTGCTTCTTGTCCTGCCTTCAGGCGCTTTGGAGAATAGCTTGACTCCCTCTTCTTTGGGGCAGCCCCTGAGATATTGGAAGACTGCTCTCATGTCCCCCCTTGTCTTTCTCTTCGTTAAACTAGACATATCGAATTCCAGCAACCGTTCCTCATATGTTTTAGCCTCCAGTCCCCTAATCATCTTTGTTGCTCTTCTCTGTACATGGTAGAAGTCTTTTTTCCCCTTCTTTCTTGCATCAGCTTTTTTTTAGCCTGGAGAAATACTTATTTTTGGATTAATCCATGTCTTTAAACCAGGATCCAATTTTTCAAATTCATTAGATTTTGATTTATCTTATGTGTAGGCATAGTATTCAGTGAGTTTGTGGGAAGATGACCTGTAGTGGCGCATCAGTTAGAATGCAGAACTGCAGGCTACTTCTGCTGACTGCTGGGGCCAGCAGTTTGAGTTTCACTGGCTCAAGGTTGACTCAACCTTCCATCTTTCTGAGGTCTTTAAAATGAGGAGGACCCAGATTGTTGGGGGGCATTATGCTGACTCTGTAAACCACTTAGAGAGGGCTGTAAAGCACTGTGAAGCAGTATATAAGTCTAAGTGCTATTGCTATTAAAATGAAGTTTAAAAAATTTAGCTTCTTTCCTGTGTTGTTCCAAATGCTTGCTTTCTTGCAAGGAGACTTAACACTTAAATTTCTTTTAATAGGTGCACAACTCTTACTCATCCAAAGTGTGCTGCTGCCATTCGACAAACCAGCTTTAGCAGAGACAGTAGTATCCTTATTGCTGTGTGTGATGATGCCAGCATCTGGCGCTGGGACAGACTTCGATAAATTACGGCTTCCTGAGACTTATACTGCTTTTTTGCCATAACTTCTCACCTGCTGATCCTCTAAACCAGTGTTTCTCAACGTTGACAATTTTAAGGCATGTGGACTTCAACTCCCAGAATTCCACAGCCAGCATTGCTGGCTGTGGAATTCTGGGAGTTGAAGTCCACATGCCTTAAAATTGTCAACGTTGAGAAACACTGCTCTAAACCACTTTCAGAGTAATCTTTCTTTGCTTCTGTCAACAGCTGAACTTAGAGATGTTTACATTTGATTTGATAGCATTGTCTTTTTTAAAAAAAATACTGCTTTTTTAAATAAAAAAATATTTTTGTACATTTAAAAAAATTATTTTACTTTTGGTGTTTGAAAGCTGGAGAACCTCCTCTGTATTAAATAGATATTTGCTATGTTGTATGTTTGTGAGCTAAAAGACAAACAGATAAAAGTTTGTGCATTTGAGAGAGACAGATTTGATAAGATAAAGAATGTTATTTTATGTAGGATTCTGTTTTCTTCTAATGTGGGCTTCGTTATTTTCAAGTAGCTAGTTTTTAACAATGAAAACCTGCTTGAAAGCGTTGTGTTATCTGAAAAGTCAGGTATTGTGACTGAATCAGGCTTACCATAATTCAAGCAAGGTTCCCACTCATGCCTTCTTCCCTTTATTACTAGAACTATTTTTTTTTAACAGTATATAAATTAGCCTACAATGTATACAGGTACCAGCATTTAGCTCTCTTTTGCAGGAATGAATGTTAAGGATACAGGCTTATTTTAATGTGAATTGGCATATAGAAACAGCTGATTGGAGTGGTCAGTTTTATTTTACTCCTCTCCTGCAGCCCCTCCTTTTATTCCATTCCCCCTGCCCTAGTTTAGTTTTTCTGAAAAGTTGTGCATTCATTCAAAAATTATTAGGAAGCAGGGATAAGGACTTTACAGAAATGCAACGTATTTATGAAAGCAACTTAAAATGTTTTAAAGCTTCCATGTGAACCTGAAAGAAAAGATCTAGCTGTGTTATGGTAGTAGTTGCACTATGGCAGTGGTGGCGAACCTATGGCACGTGTGCCAGAGGCGGCACTCAGAGCCCTTTCTGTGGGCATGCGCACCATGCTCTGGAGATGGCAACCATCCCTCTTCAACCAGGCGCCCGCTAACTCACTGAGGTCCCATGTGGCCGGATGCATCCCAGCACGCCTGGTTTCCCTCCCCTCCGTCCCGTCCCTCCTGGCCTCGTATGCTCTCCTTTTCCCAGGCACGACCCACTGCATCGCCTCCTCAGCTGTCGGCTATCCATCCAGCTCAGAGTGGCTTCTCTGAACTGCTGGCGGCAGGCTGCGGAGCCCCAGAGTGCACCGGTCGAGGGGCCGGCAGGCTGTGGCTGCTGACGGACACTGTCGGCCCCCATGCGTTCGCTGGCCTCTGTGTGCGGGGGGGGGCGATGGTGTCAGGTAGCAGCCGCCCCGGCCCCTGCCTTGCCTTGCCCTGTGACAATGGCACCCCCACCCTGCTTCGCCTTGCCTCACCCCGCAGGATGAGCCTCCTGCCCACCGCCCCATCTGCCAGAGACCCCCCCGGATCTCCCCCAAACCTGCCCAGCCCCCCCAGGCATACCTCCCCATGAGCAACATCGAGGTGACCATGCTCACTTTGGCCACCCAGTCTGCCATGACCACCACAGCCACACCCACTTAGTGGGCCACACCCACCTGGCACCCGGTGATAAATAAGTGGGTTTTGGGTTGCAGTTTGGGCACTCTGTCTCTAAAAGTTTCACCATCACTGCACTATGGAATCAACTTCTCAATATATTTGAGAAGACACCCAAAATAAGAGGTACAGTTCTATTTTCTATATATTTATATTCTATTTTCTTTCAGCAAATCAATGTAATATATACAAAGCTTATTACTCCAACTTCCTTCCCCCCTCCCCCAGCAACAACCCTATAAGATTGATTAGGCTGAGAGAGAGATGTTACACATACATGTAAGATAAACTACCTGCCAGGAAGAAAATGTGAATGTGTGTAATTTGGCAATTAAATAAAAATTGGAATAGTGTGTATAATTTTTAGTCTTAAAATTGCTTGTTTTGAACACTTGTAGTCACATCAATTTTTCTTTACTTTTTTTGCTATGGGTAAAGTAGAACAAGCTGTGTAAACCAGCTGCTCGGTTAGCCCAAGTATATAAGAACATAAATTCATTAAAATATTTTTAGCTTGTTTAAATTGGGATTTGAAAAAGGCTGCAATTTTTAGGTTTTAGGATAATCTTGTCTAATACATTAAGTACAAGTAGTCCTTGATTTACGACAAGGGTCTTCAAACTTGGCCCTTTTAGGACTTGTGGACTTCAACTCCCAGAATTCCTCAGCCAACGTGCCTGGCTGAGGAATTCTGGGAGTTGAAGTCCACAAGTCATTAAAAGGGCCAAGTTTGAAGACTCCTGACTTACGACCACAATTGAGCCCAAAATTTCCATTAATAAGCAAGACAATTGTTAGGTGAGTTTTGCCTCATTTTATGACCTTTCTCACTACAGTTGTTAAGCAAATCACTGTAGTGATTAAGTGAATCATGTGGTCATTAAGGGAATCTGGCTTCCCTCATTGACTTTGCTTGTAAGGTTACAAATGGTGATCACATGATCCCACAACAGTGTTAACTGTCATAAATACATGCCAGTTGCCAAGTGCCTGAATTTTAGTCATGTGACTATGGGGATGCTGCAATGGTAGTAAGTGAAAACCCATAAGAAGTCACTTTTCCAGAGTCCTTGTAACTTCAAATGGTCACTAAATGAATGGTTGTAAGTCAAGGACTACCATAGACGCGCTGTTTTTACACAAGACCTACCTTTTCATTTTGCTTCAGGGAGAATGAAGAAATGACAAAAATTGGATCAATAGGCCTGCTCTTTGACAGCCTGGAAGAACTATTATAGCAGTGTTTCTCAACCTTGACCATTTTAAGGCATGTGGACTTCTACTCCCAGAATTCCACAGCCAGCAATGCTGGCTGTGGAATTCTGGGAGTTGAAGTCCACATGCCTTAAAATGGTCAAGGTTGAGAAACACTGTATTATAGGGACAGGAAAAAAAATGGTAAATGCGGAGACCTCCACTCTTGATGCTTTTTGTGCAACCAAAGAATTCTGTGAAATTGGAAAGCTTGCGCACTCTCCTGGCAGTAGAAGGGGATAGCAAGGTTTCTATTTGCAGGGTGATGAGAAAGCTGCAGTCCATAAGTTTCTTTTCCAGGACGGAGGAACTCCTACAACTCCTAAGTCGGAACATAAAAGTAATACACAGTTTTACAAAAGAACTTTATTTCTTTATCTCTATGCGCACACGCGTCCTCCGCCCTTTCATAGGCTCAAGCCTACATTTCCCAAAAGGCCTCTTCGGCCTCCGGAGCGGAGATTCCTGTACAAACGAACGGAACTGTCCTGCGCTGCATGCTGGGATATAAAGTCCTTTCTTCGTGTGCTTCAACCCATGCTTTCAATAGTTTTCTCCTTCCGCCTGCCCCGGATGTACTTCCTTGGGGCGGGGTGGAGTGGGGGCGTCACGGAGGGGCACTGGGGTGTTCGTTCGGGCCGCTTGTAGGTGTCTAGAAAGGCCACCTCGGAGGACCAAGCCGGGGTGCTGGCGCCGCCGCCGCCGCCATGTTTGGTTGCTTGGTTGCGGGGAGGCTGGTGAGTGGCTCCCGCCTGTGGCCGCGGAGGACGGAGTGGGCGGGCTCCTCGGCCCGGATCTCCATGGAAACGAAGGGGAGGGGGAGAGAAGGAGAAGAAGAGGTGACCATGGAAACGAGAGGGCCGGCTGGCCCTTTGGGGTTTCTATGGTGAGCGATGCGCGGGGCGACTCTTAAGCACCGCCTCTTGCGGTTTGGGACTCGATGGGAGGACGAGGCGCCGATCCGGTGTCTTGAAACTACAACTCCCATCACCCCTCGGGCAGCAGAGGCTGTTGTGGGGTTGGTAGGAGCTGTAGTCCCAATGCCTCCGTTGGTGCCTGAGAGGGAAAGACTAGGCAGGGTCTGAAGTGATGTGCAACGTGTGACGGGAGTTTACACACTTACATTGAATTTATGGAAGTTTTCAACAGGACTTATGCCTTCCTTAACTGAGTGTGATTAAGGAAAAAAAAAACCAGCTCAAAAGATGCAGTCCCTTATTTTGTGTATTTCTGAGGGGGAAAAGCCTGCACCTGTTGGAACTCCTACATTGGACATGAGGCTCCTACTGCTGCCTGCTTCCTCTCTTCCACGGCCTTTTTATAGAGCTTCCCCGAGCCTAAATTCATCCTTTAGGGATGACTTCAGAAAGTGGCCTCCTTCACCCCTATTTGCACAATTTACATTGCAAATTGGGACTTTGCACAAAAGATTGCAGCCCAGTATTCCCAATTAGATGTTGTGCTGCAATCTTTCATGCAAAACCTCTACCTTTTCAAGGTGGAGTTGTGCGAGTGAACCCAATGTTTGCATTCTACTGTAACCAATTTCAGTATAAAAAATATGGGTCTGAACAGTGAATTAACAACTTTTGGTAGTTGTTGCAGACGTGGCCGTTCCTTTCACTGGCCTTTTCCTCACCGATTTTGATACATCTGCATTTTCAGTGCAAATCACTTTTTCATGAGTTGGACTGATTTGTCAGGTGGCTTAGCATGTTTGACTGCTAAAACCCAGAGTTAGGGTCACGTTGAACCTGCTAATTGTGAGGTGTTGTGTTGGAGAATGTTCTCTACACCTGTTATATGTGAATTATACTTAGCTGATCTGTCTTCTGTGCAGAAGGCTGAAGCAGGGATGAATCAAATTGCACAAAATGATGCATTGGCATCATGTGAACCAGTTAGCCTGACTCAAAATTCGCTCAGTGGAAAAAAGGGTTCCCGTTTAATGCTCTACATGGAGCTGGTCCCAGTGACTGACCCAGATTGGATCCTGCAACATTATCCTGGGACACATATGTTTGCTTTCATCCATGAAGCTTCAATTGGTTCAAAATGTGGCAGCCTGTGTGGTTTTGTGCAAATCTATAGTTGGACTTGTGTCACTTCTCCTGTGGGAGCTGCATTGACTGCAAATTTGCTTCCAGGTTCAATTCAAGATGCTAGTTGTCACCTTTAATGCCTTTCATAGCTTGAGGCCAGGCTATTTGAAGGATTGGGTTTTCCCGGTTACATCTACCACCAGAGCAGGGATGCCGGGGATGTTACAGGTCCCCTACCTTAGTGGAGCCAAAAATAAGGGCCTTTTCTGTGGTGACTCCCTCCCTGTGGAACATCATCGCTGTGGAAATAAGATTGGCCCCCACTTTGACACTCTTTTAAAAGGCCCTGAAGACATGATTTTGCCTGGGACCCAGGGTAATATGGAGCCGATCAAGTGACTGGTTTGATTGTTGTCATCACGGGTTGGAGTTTATTATGTTTTTATTGGGGTCTTACTTCTGTAAACTGTGCGGAAACACTGAGCATTGGACGGCCAAATATATTTTCCAAATAACTAAATAAACTTTCTTTTATAGGTTCAAACAGTGGCACAGCAAGTAGCAGAGGACAAATTTGTGTTTAACTTGCCCGACTATGAGAATATCAATCATGTGGTGGTCTTTATGCTGGGGACTGTACCCTTTCCAGAGGGCATGGGCGGATCAGTCTACTTTTGCTATCCTGATGAGAATGGTGTACCCGTGTGGCAGCTCCTTGGATTTGTCACAAATGAAAAACCAAGTGCCATCTTTAAAATATCTGGTCTAAAATCTGGTAAGAGAAGGGAATACAAGAATTGGACCCTGTATATAAGTATATGTTACTGCAGGGCAAAGATGAGTAGTCTGCATTTTTGCAGATTCCTGAATTCCCCCCTCCCCAGGATTGTGCCTGCCCCCAAACTTTAGAACTTAGAGCTAAACAGATGTGCCTCTAATAGAACTAACACTCTATTTGACCAGGAAACATTGGAAGCCAGTTTGGTGTAATAGCTAAGGTGCTGGCATAGAAACCATAACACTAAGTTTTAATTCACCTTGGGCCTGAAAGCCAGCTATCGTAGATGACTTAGGACCAATCACCAGGAGACTGTGAGTTCACAATTGAGGCCAAAAGTTATGTTGCTATGTGAGACATTTGTTAAGTGAATTTTGCCCCCATTTTACGACCTTCATTAAGGTGATCGCATGATCCCAGGACACTGCAACCGTCATAAATATGAGTCAGTTCCCCCGTGTCTAAATTTTGATCATGTGACCATGGGGATACTGCCACAGTTGTGTGAAAAATGGTGATAAAGTCACTTTTTCAGTGCCATTGTAACTTTGAATGGTCACTAAATGAACTGCTGTAAGTCGAGGACTACCTGTATTTTAATGTTTCATTAATGGTGGCTGTAGGCTTTTGTTGTTTCATGCCACTGCAGTAACTGATGTGTTTCCCTCCCGTGCAGTCTTCTGTGTATTTGAAGTTACTTCAGAATTGTGCTTGCGTTGAGAAGAAGACCAATGCGTTAGGGTCGCTGTGGTGTGTTCCTTTTAGGTAAAGGCAGTCAGCATCCATTTGGAACCATGACCATCCCCCAAATGCCATCTGTGGCCCAGATTGGGATTTCTGTGGAGCTGCTGGAAATCTTGGCTCAACAGACTCCTGTAGCAAGCGCTGCTGTATCATCGGTCAATTCATTCACAGAGGTGATTGAAAATATAGTTTTTTTTCCCTTCAGTAGAACAGTGTTTTTCAACCTTGGTAAAATAGAGCAGAGTAGAGCAGAACAGAATACAACAGAACAGAATAGAGTGTAGAGTAGAAAATGGAATGGAATGGAATGGAATGGAATGGAATAGAATAGAATAGAATAGAATAGAATAGAATAGAATAGAATAGAATAGAATAGAATAGAATAGAACAGAACAGAGAACGGAACGGAACAGAAAGGAATGGAATGGAATGGAATAGAATAGAATAGAATAGAATAGAATGTGGAAAATAGAATAGAATGGAAAGGAACAGAACGGAACAGAATAGAGCAGTAGATATTTTGAACAGCATTTTGAGAATAATAGAGATGGTGTTACATGTTGGTTTTCTACAGTATATCATTTGGTTTATTACTGTCTTTATTATTGTTTTGTTTTGTTGTTGCTATTAAACATGAGAGGTCCTTATGGCAATGTTCAAATGCATAAAGAATAGCTCGCTGTTCTAAGAATTGCAGCAGAGATGATTACATATGTGGAAATTCTTAACACGTTTTGATTATTTTTTTCAGTTCACTCAAAAGATGTTAGACAATTTTTATAACTTCGCATCATCCTTTGCTGTCACTCAGGCCCAAATGACACCCAACCCATCAGCAGCTTTTATTCCTGCAAATGTAATTCTGAAATGGTAAGCTACAGTTCATGTCCTGGTCCTTACAGCCATCACAGCATCTCCTTGTCACATGATCAAAATTTGGGCGCTTGAGAGCCAGCATTTATTTATGATAGTTGCGGCATCCTAGAGTCATGTGACTTCCATTTCTAGATGGCTTCTGAGAAGCAAAGCTTGTTTGGTCTAGTGCTGTGGTGGCGAACCTATGGGACGCGTGCCACAGGTGGCACACAGAGCCCTCTCTGTGGGCACGCGTGCCGTCGCCCCAGTCCTAGGCCTTCAGCCGGGTTTTATAAAACCTTTTCGCTTTAGGCCTCCGCCGCCGTGTGCAAAAAAAAAAAGGTTCAATCAATTAATTTCAACTTCTCGCAGGAAAAAAAAAAGATCTAGCAAAGTTGGAATTGATTGATTGAACTTTTTAATTCCCACCCAGTCTGCCGTTACCACCACAGCCACGCCCACCCAATGGGTGACGCCCACCCAATGGGCCACACCCATCCAATGGGCCACGCCCACCCGGCAATACATAAGTGGGTTTTGGGTTGCAGTTTGGGCACTCGGTCTCTAAAAGGTTCGCTAAGTCACCAGGCTAGAAAACAGGAGACCATGAGTTCAAGTCCTGCCTTAGCCATGAAAACCAGCGAGGTGATTTTAGGCTAGTCATTCAGCTCAATCCACTTCACACTGTTGTTGTGAGGAAAATAGCAGCAGGAAGGAGTACTATGTGTTTTTGTCACCTGGAAGAATTATTTGTAAAAATATTAAGGTGGGACATAAATAAATAAAATGATGCACTGATTTTGTTTGCAGGAACAGTCTTTGTCATGTGGAAGAGCAAGCTGTGTCAGCTATATGAGCTATACAGGAGATGTGATAGTCTCTGAAATAGTTGGAAGATGGCTTTGTTTCCAGTACGGTGCATTGAGTTTCAGTGCTGGAGATTAAGAGAAGTCTTAGCGGAAATCTCTTCGTGTGTAGAGAGAAAAAATAACAGAATAGCAGAGTTGGAAGGGGCCTTGGGTATATTTTTAAATATTATGGTATCGCTGTTTTATTAATGTGCCTGTTCACCGCCCTGAGTCCCGCAAGGGAGAAGGGCGGTATATAAATCAAATAAATTGAATTGAATTGAATTCTAGTCCAACCCCCTGCTCAAGCAGGAAACCCTATACTATTTCAGACAAATGCTTATCCAATCTCTTATTAAAAACCTCCAGTGATGGGGCACCCACAACTTCTGGAGGCAAGCTGTTTCACTGATTAATTATTCTCACTGTCAGGAAATTTCTCCTTAGTTCCAGAGAGTTGCTTCTCTCCTTGATTAGTTTCTACCCATTGCTTCTTGTTCTGCCTTCAGGTGCTTTGGAGAATATATTGACACCCACCCACCCACCCTTCTTCGTGGCAGCCCCTTAGATATTGGAAAGGGAAACATTATCCTTAACTTGAGATTGCCACCAATGTTAAGCATACAAATAGCCTTGTTACAAAATTTTAATTTATCCACATCTTCTGTTTCTCCCCCTTTCTTTCAGGTATGAGAATTTCCAAAGACGACTAACTCAAAACCCTTCCTTTTGGAAAACATAATCCTGAGTTACTTTTCTGGGAGTTCACTCAAGCAAGCAGATAAGAGCTTAAAAGATGCAATAAGCCGAGCCTGCTAAAGAACATCTGGATGAATTCATAAGTTTGAGATGAAGGGAGGGGGAAAAAAAACCCCTCAGCTTTTCTAACACTTCGGGGACTTTGGCTTTAAAATTAAACCATAAAGAGTAGTCATTGCAGCGGTGTCCTGTTTTCCAGTTAAAAACTGTAAACTGAGAAACCTGTGATGTGTACAGGAAACATGCTCAATAATATTAACCAGCATAAACCTTTTGATTTGGTTTTCCTTTCAGACTGAAGTTGTGATGCGACGTGTTTGTATCTAAAGGTTTGTTGATGTCGCTTGTATAATTTCTAAATGTCCCGTTTGGTTAACTCTGCTTACGATAGTTGATTCGATTACTTTTGGTTTTCATGTTCAAAACAAACAGTTTCATATGCTGAGACTCTAGAAAGAGTACAGAGAAGAGCAACAAAGATGATTAGGGGACTGGAGGCTAAAACATATAAGGAACGGTTGCTGGAATTGGGTATGTCTAGTTTAACGAAGAGAAGGACGAGGGGGGTCATGATAGCAGTCTTCCAATATCCCAGGGGCTGCCACAAAGAAGAGGGAGTCAAGCTATTCTCCAAGGCGCCAGAAGGCAGGACAAGAAGCAACAGATGGAAACTAATCAAGGAGAGAAGCGATCTAGAACTAAGGAGAAACTTCCTGACAGTTAGAACAATTAACCAGTGGAACAAGCTGCCTCCAGAAGCGGTGAATGCTCCAACACTGGAAGTTTTTAAGAAGAGACTGGACAGCCATTTGTCTGAAATGGTATAGGGTTTCCTGCCTGAGCAGGGGGTTGGACTCGATGACCTCCAAGGTCCCTTCCAACTTAATAATAATAATAATAATAATAATAATAATAATAATAATAATAATCATAATCATAATCATAATCATCTTGATTAATTCTGTCTGGGTACTTGTTTAGCATAGATGGGGACAATGGAGAAAGGGTCAACGAGACATCTATTATCGTCTTGGGACCTGCTCTGAAGAATTGGCTGACAATATGAGGACTGTCCCATTAGTTGTTTCCTCTTTTAAGGCTGTAGAAAGTTGCAGTTGATGACTTATCAACCTAGTGACCGAGATTTCAACAAGCCTTACTTGTATAATTCAGAAGCATTGCATGGGCAATGGCTATCAATTCATTTATTTTTTTTTGAGGGCAACTGAGAGCCACCTCTAAAATGCAGCGGACACGTTCTGTGGGGAGAGGGTGTCAAAATGCCTCTTGATTTAGAGAAACAGGGAAATTGATCCTTGCAAAATGGTCAGTCTGCCACTTCAGAAGTGAAACAGGTTCTAATTCAGTGTTTCTCAACCTTGACAATTTTAAGGCATGTGGACTTCAACTCCCAGAATTCCACAGCCAGCATTGCTGGCTGTGGAATTCTGGGAATTGAAGTCCACATGCCTTAAAATTGTCAAGGTTGAGAAACACTGTTCTAATTGGTCGTTCATAGGCCTGACCCAGCATCTTAAAAGCTATAGAGCAGGGCTGTCCAACATTGGCAACTTTAAGACTTGTGGACTTCAATTCCCAGAATGCCCCAGCCAGCCTGGGTGCTTTTGGGAGCGTTGGGGGGGGGGAGAGGAAGCAATCAACAGCAGAAGATTAGATACTGCCCCAATCTTTTATAAGACTTGGGAGAATTTCTTCCAGCCCCATTTTCAAACTGTCCTCCTGTTCCTGCCATGTGCTGGGCTCATTGCCGCTTACGTTTTTAGTGGGGATGGACTGTGAAGAATGTATTTCTGAATTCTGAACATTAGGTTCAACTGTCTAATTAGGTGGTGTCTTGGGAGGGTCCCACTCTGTGGTCCACCCCCCCCCCTCTGAAACAGAATATCAAAAGACAAGTTTTAAAAGCCAAGCTGTCATAATCATTTAGGACATTCCTGTTTTTATGTATGGAATAGGCAATAGTAAAGGTAAATACACACATCTTTTTTAAAACTGAGCAGTGTTTCGCTGGTGGAAAAATATAATTTGAGAATCTATAGTGTTATGTCTTCTAATTTTTGCAGCTGCAGTGTAGTGTTACTCAAAAGTTTTCATTTAGCAGAACCAAACAATAAGAGTTTTGCCTATCTGTCCATTTATTTAATTTCTATACTGCCATCTCAGCTGAGTGATTCAAGAGAGATCAACAAAGCAGCAAAAACGTAGTGGTCTTAGTTTAATCTTGTATACTGTATCTGCATATTTCAAATAATTTATCCTCCTTAGTGAAACATACGCCAAACTGATTTAAGGAGAGGATGAAACTAATAAGTTGAACAAGAATGAACAGGAAAAATAACAGCTAAGAAATTAGTACTTCTGGAAATATTTTAGATTTCTCATTTTTTGCTCCATTTTTCTTCAGTTGTAATATACTCTAAGGCAGGGGTTCTCAACTGTGGCAGTCCACAAGTCTTAAAGTTGCCAAGGTTGAGAACCCCTGCTCTAAGGGCACTTTCCATTGTTCAAAAATAATTGTAACCTATTACAATTAATGTATTCATACCAAGCTAATGCATGACTGCCCTCATCCAGTTTCTATTGACAGAAGGCTTAGAAGTTTCAGTTTGCTAGCAACTATTACCTTTATGTTAAACACCACTTTTTTCTTGGTAACATAAAAATATATGAGAATATTAATAATCAGAAGAGGTTTTTTTTATTTCAACTGCATGTTCATTCTTTAGAAGAGAGTAGCAGCAACTTAGCCTAGATTTGCTGGTATGTCACAACAGATAGCAGCAGCTAGCAGACCTTGGCCAGTCTCATAAAAAATTAAGGAGTGTGGAGTTTCATTAACGGATGGAAGACCACTGGGAAAGGCCAAGTGTGTAAATTAAACCAGGAAGCTGAAAAAAAACACTCCAGAAAAGACTGTTCATATTATGCTGGGAAAGCTACCTGGCCATATTCATGATGGGATTCTCCAAGATATAATAAGCTTGCATCTTGCATATTCCATGGTTACTCTTATTTTATGTATGTTTTTTGTTACCCCATAATTCAGTGAGCAGGCAAAATGCTGCACTTCAAAAACACACCTTTCATATAAAATCTGCCTCTGTCACCCGCACAACTGGTGTCAGGAAGGCGTAAACAATCATAACATTGTTAGTTTTAAGGTACCAAAACATCATTTTGGGTTTGTTTTTGCTGCAAAGGAGCAACATGGTCACATTCCCGTAGTCTCCATTCAAGTATCGACAGCTTACAAAAATCAGCAGTTCGCACTGAACTAAGTTTTGAGTTTTCACATCCAGGTCTTCCTTGATATGAAAACTATTTATTGGCTTTTAATGTTTGTAAGCTGCCCAGGGTCGCTTCTAGGTGAGATGGATGGCAAAGAAACAAATTAGATAAATGGATAGATATAGATAATGATAGATGATAAATAGATCAAGATAGAGATGATAGAGATAGATATATAGATGATAGCTAGATACATGATACATATAGATATATAGATGATAGCTAGATGATATAGATATTGAGATAGATGATAGCTAGATAGATGGATAGAGGGAAAGAGGGAAAGGGAGATTAGATAGATAGAAAGATAGATAGATAGATAGATAGATAGATAGATAG